CCTCAGGATAACATAGCTTCCTCCAGGAAGCCTAGTGACGCTTTGGCTTACCATTGTCCATTCCCCAGAAGAAATTTGCAAATTTTGTTTCAAGAGAGCGTTCTGTCTGTCTAGGCAAGAGAACCGACGCAATAGTAAACAACAGGATTGAAGACAAAATATGACGAATCAAAATTAGCCAGCCTCCCAGCGATAACAGCTTTCTCTGCCAGCTCTGGAGACCCGTGTCGACCTTTTCAAGGAGATGTTGATAATAGAGAGGCCGATTCCTTCCTTTAAAAAGGCTGACACCAAGATACCGGAACGACAACAAGGATTGTTGCATTCCCAGAATTCTCGACATATTACTGGCCCTAGCAGTTGGGCATCTCCTGGAAGTAACAAAAAAGCTCTTATAGAAATTAATTTTTTGTCCTGATCCTTGTTGATAAAGATCAAGAACATTTGCAAAGGCCTTTAGGGAGGCCGATGAGCCATTGACAAAAATGACTATGTCGTCGGCAAAAGCAAGGTGGGTGATTACGGGGCAGTCTGGGTGCGTGGCATAAGGAGACAACAACCCTACTCCCATCTTTAAAATTAGGGAGCGCGATAGAGCCTCCGAGGCCAGAATAAATAAGAGAGGAGATAGCGGGTCGCCTTGCTTGACGCCTCTAGTCGGTTGAAAGAATCCACAACTCACCCCATTAACCAAAACCGATAGCATTGTTGCTTCCAGATTACGCATTACCACATTCACAAACATTGCTGGGAAGCCCAGATTAAATAAGACAGCTTGCAAAAAAGGCTAGGATACCCTGTCGAAAGCCTTCATCATATCCAACTTAACAACAATATTTAAACCCCGGCATTTCTTGTCAAGATATTGCATTAATTCCAAGGCCAATAAGATGTTATCCTGAATATTGCGGCCTTGCACAAAACCCGCTTGCTCCCTGGAAATCAAATTCGGAAGGACGATAGCCAGCCTAGAAGAGATTACCCTTGTGAAAACTTTACTGATGAAAGTGCACAGGCAAATAGGCCTGTAATCAGCAAAGGAGTCCGGATTTGACTTCTTCGGGATTAGGACTATTTGTGCACTTGCTATTGCTCGGGGAACCGGGACACCAACAAAAAAATCCTGCACTGCCCAAAAAACATCTTCGTGAACCAGGTCCCAATAGTCTCTGTAAAAAGCACCTGAAAAACCATCCGGTCCCGTTGCGCTGTCCGGGTCCAGTTTCCAAACCGCTTCTTTTACCTCTTCGCGGGAGAGAGGCGCTAGGAGAGATTGTGCTTCACGATCAGCCAACCCCGAAGAGAGGCAGTCCACAAGGGCGGATGACCCGGACAGTCCTCGGCCGAAAAGAGGGTCGTATAGAAATTTACTGCCTCCTGCTGTATGTCTTCCTGGGTGGTAAGTAAAAGACCTTCTGAATTATTCACACTGGATATTCTTTAGCGGCGATGTCTGTCCTTAACCACTGCGTGGAAGTATCGAGTGTTAGCGTCCCCCTCTCGCAACCACTTGATCCTTGCCTTTTGCCTCCAAAAACACTCCTCATGTTTAAGTGCCATAAGCAGATCAGCTTGGAGAGCATGGAGCGAAGCTCGCGACTCCTCGGATGGATTGCTAGCGTAAGTGTGTTCAGCCGCTGCCACCCCGGCCTATAAATCCTTCACACGGTCAAAAACATTTCCAAAGATTTCTTTATTTCACACTTTCAAAGCTGTTTTTAGACGCTTCAGTTTGTATGCAAGGGCCCTCATGCCGCCACCATCAGCCGGCAAAGACCAATTTTGGCGAATAACCCGCTTAAAATCTGGATGTGATAGCCACATGCGTTGAAATCTAAATTGTTTCGGGCAAGACATACTGTTATTTGTAGCAGTAAACACTAGTGGAGCATGGTTCGAGGTCGTTCGAGCGAGCACTTGAATTTGCACCTCAGTAAAAGAATCGCGACAATGGGAGTTCAAGAGAAAACGGTCGAGCCTTTTCCAGACTGCACCCGTGGTTCGCCTCCCATGCCAGGTGTATAGACTCCCCGTTATAGGCAAATCAAGCAAATTATTATCATGGATGAAGCTGGAAAAATCCCTAATGTTATTTGTGTCTGGTAGTGCATCGCCCCTGTACTCAGATATACTGAAGATATATATGTATTTACTGAGGAATACGAAGAATCGTTGGACTCTTTGAGATTTCATCAAATATAAAAAATCCCCCACATATATCTGCCACCCTTTAGAGGGAATAAAGACACTCCCCGGAAAGAAGATCCCAAAAGCCGGTCTCTGTGTTCCAATATAAGCGGTAGAGTTGTGACTCGCGCAGAGGATTCTTGCAGAGAGGATAACATCCCATGGGTAAGGCAACGGGGAGTGATACTATGATCACGGGCATAAATCAATAATATGTAGGCTGCTACAGAACAGAAAATCCACTATACATTCATAGAACCCCTTAGAGGGAAATATGAATCCATTGAGTGCTAAGTGTCATAAGAAAACTGAGCCTCAGGCCCTTTATTCCAGAGTAACGAAGTAAGGAATAGAGTATAGGGCCGACTAAGAGTTTTGAGTTCGCCTTTCCGTCTATAATAATAGCTTTCCTACAATCCCACTTTTTTGGGCAGAAAACCTCGCCCCAACTTTTTGTTCCGCGCTTTTAGTAATCGATCATCTTCTAGTTTTGTCTACTGTAGCAAAACCGATAATCATCTTCCCGTTCCCGTTTTGTCTTCTCCTTCTGCAGCGGAGAAAATGAAGTCTACAGAAAGGAAGTTCAATGGCGCAGAACGGTGAATAGACAGATCCGGTTAAGGCTCCTGCAGAACCTAAATTCACTGCCGCGGAACGGTGAATAGACTTACCCGGGAGATGATCGAGGAAGTAAATAATATATACGCTAATATGAAATCAACAAACCTTTTGAGACTAGGAGTATATCATGGGCCCACCACACGGACCGGAGTTGCTTACCTCATAAAGCTTTTTTACGTCCTGTATACTAGCCAGAATAGGGATGATGGAGTTCGGAGTGATGGGGCAAGCACAAATTATGGGAATATAATGAATCATGAAGAACCTCAAATGAATGGAATTACTGCTACGGAACGCCTAATTAATGATTTATGGGGGACATTCTATTTATCCTCATTTTGCCGGACGTTCAAGATTGGGATTCTTGAAGTTCTCCTAGAGACGAATCCAGGGTTAGGTTAGCTAGATTTGGGAAATAAATGGATTCACTTGGACTTAATTACTTGAATTCCTTTTTATATTCAATAATGTGTCCCTTCAAGTTGGGGGGAGCTTCTGTTTATACTAAGCCCTAACGGTAACATGGTGGGACATAAATGAGGAGCTGAGACATTTAATTCTCTCTCATCAATGGTGGCATCAATGGTGACTTCAATGGTAGCAGTAAGTGTTAGTAAAGCTACCCGTTGGTATTCTGCCCGTTGGACTTCTGTCCGTTGAGTTTCCACGTGGTGCCGGGTCGAGTACCTGTTGATGATCCGGGTCGGATGCCAGCCCCATTATCCTATCAATCAAAATTAAGAATTAAACTCTATATAATGTTTTAGATTTTGATTGAACTCAAAAGATTATTAGTTCGAATATTTTTGATTATGTTACATCATAATACAAGTTCGGTCCAGATATCGGATATAGAAATCACACATATATTAGAATTCAAAGTAAAGGTTATATATTCATATACATGTCATTCAAATGAATATATCCAAAAAAAATATTGTTAATATTATCTCAAAAAATATTAATATTATCTAAACTAAATTTTAGGTGAAAACTGAAAAATTAGAAAACAGAGAACAGTTTTCTGTTGGTAAACAAGTTTTCTAAACAGAAAACAGAGAATGAAAACTGAAAAATTAGAAAACAGAAACAGAAAACAGAGAATAGTTTTAAGTTAGTAAACGGACCCAGAATTTTTATAACCGAAAATGCTCATGTTTCGAATGTACAGAATTATATAATAGAAAACACAGAATTTTGTACCTAAAAATACAGAATTTTATAACTGAAATTTTCCCATGTTTCGAATGTACAGAATTATATAATAGAAAACACAAGATTTTATACTTGAAAATACAGAATTTTATACCTGAAAACACATAATCTTTTTTAAAATGATAAAAATCCCCTGTTTCGAATGTATAGACTTTTATACCTGAAAACACAAAATTTTATAACTGAATACACATACATTTTTGTCGCGTTAATTCTCCACACAAATGAACAAAAACGACCTGATTTTGAGAGGTGTCGCACATTGCTATGTGCGCCCTGGTGCACGATATAACGTTTGAGTAAATATAGGGTGATGGTGATTGAGGTTGAGTTGTTGCCTTGTTGGTATAGAAGGACCGAAAGGTTTAAGGTTCAAAAGGTTCAAAGGGGGTTGTCAAATAAAACAAAAGGTTCATCGTTAATAATTCCTTATTCCTTATTATATAATAGATTCATCCTAAATAATTCCTTATTATATATAGATGGCCGACTCGACGCTAATCTAATCCACAAGTCAACAAAGATCCCAAGCAAAGCCGAAATAAAACATTATTACATTTTCAACCAAATCAATCTCTCACAGCACCAATGAGACTTGTTGAGACTGATGATGCATCATTGTTTATTGACCCCTCAGCTGAAAATTTGGCATCTCCGGAACAAGCTCAACCGCCACCATATGCTTCCTCTCCCTCTCCCACGAGGTCGTTGTTCAACCATGGCGCTCTCACCTGCAACCCTGTTACGACTGCCGAGAATGCTGCTGCTGCGGTGGCGTTGACGGAGTCGGAAATGAGTGAAGAAGCTGAGACCACTATTGTTGTCCATCATCTACAAACAGATTCTCATAATCACTCTCTTAATACAGACTGCGTTTTGCTGTCAGGAATGATGATGAGCCCCCCAAGGCCATGGATGAACTTTTCTGGTGAAGAAGCGTTGTTCCTAAGCCCCAATTTCCACGCCGACATGGGGATGGGGGGAGGAATGATGATGAGCATGAGCCCCCCAAGGATGAACTACTTTTCCCCGCCATCCGGTGATTCCGATCCATTTAGATTGTGGAATTTTGCAGATCATAGTGAGTCTCAAGAGTTGGAGAATAGGAAGGGAATGATGATGCGGCCAACTTGGAAGCAGCAGCCGTGTATAGAAGAAGTTGATGACCCATATAGATTTTGGGATGATGGAGCGTATAGTGTGGGTCATGAGTTTCTTAATACGGAAATAATAATGAAGATGACGGTTTCATGGAATGCTGTGGATTCTGAACTTTTCCCCCACCAGGAGCTTTGGTGGAATATTGATGTACAGGCAATGGAAAAAGGATTGCCAGTGGCGCATTCAAATGTTAATCTTTTCTTGAAATGTAAGTATACTACCTTGAGTTTAATAGAAGTTGAAGTAGGGATCAGGGGAGCGTGGATTGAACAAAAATCAGTTACTCTTTCACCAAGAAGTGGTCAATGTGGTGTGCACAGTAGCGCCGTGCTTGAATTTCTGGAAAAGCAGTTTGGGGATACTTCCAACACTTTGCAACCAATTGTAAAATGCTTGGAAAAGGTGTCCCTAGAACTTCAGCGTCGGAATAATTTGGAAAGGCAGTTGCTAGACAACCTTGAGAGGCTTGCTGCAGAGTTTGAAAAGAGTGTCAACCTTGAGACGCTTGCTGTAAACTTAATAAAGAGAAATGCTTTGCCAGCACTACCTGAAGCAGAATGCAGGATGATGCAACTGAACTCACTATGTGAATGCCATATAATTCCCAAATCCAGTGCAACAAATGAAGAAACAAATAATGTAGTTGTTCTTGGGTTAAAAAGAACTTATGCCATAGGGAACAGCTTGAAGAATTATGCTGTTTGCAGTTCACAAGCACTTTATGCCAAAGGTGAAAACACTAGTTCACAGAAAACCGACAGTATCAGCAAGTGCAGGTGGGAGAAAGATCATGGAATTAACCGCCAGGTTCTTCAACAACTGTTTGGTAAGAGTCGCGATGATGCTGCTAAAATTCTTAAAAGGTGAGCTAACACTACACTTTTATCATATATTTGATTTGATGTGGTAGTATTCAATATTTTCTTAGTGTATAGATAGATAGGTGGTTATTGCTTCAATATATACTTTCTCATAGATACATTTGCTTTTCTTTAATCTCCCATTATATTATATTGTGCAGTTAGCATATCTACATTGAAGCGAGCATGTTGGGACTTTGGCATCAATAGATGGCCAAATCACAATAAGGGAAAAATGCCCAATTGCTCTCTCAACCAAAAACAACATGTACAAGCCTTTAAGAAACATAAAGGTATTCAAACATCTCCTGCTTTGCCTCCTCTACAAGCCTCAAATACAAGCCAATGTAACAGCACAATGTCTGTCAAGGTAACCTATAAAAATGATACCATAAGGCTTCCGCTCTCATCCTCCTCAACTATGAAATATTTGGAGGAGCAATTGGAAACAAAGTTCAAAATATCACTACAAAATATGTCTATCAAGTATCAAGATGAGGAAGATGAGTGGATTACCGTGATGTGTGATTCAGGATTGATGCACGGTTTGGATGTGTTGAGATCATCTGGCAAGACCGTAATCAGAATGATGGTCACCCCCAAATGATCATCTGATCTGTGGATGAAGGACTTCATTTTGCTCCTCTTCTCTCCCCTACCTACTTGTATTTCTTCCTTCTGGTGTTGGAACCATTCTAGGTTTGTTTAAAAACCGGTTTTATGTATTTTCTTCCCATTGTACTCTTTGTAATGTGATATGTACAATATAACGTACTCTTTTCACTGATTACTTATTTTACTATACTACTTTGCACTTATGGCATGACAATGGGATTCTCACCCACCAATGTTTACTATGATCGAAAGTAAAAAATCCACTAAAGATTAATGGTGTTTCATCCGCGAGTGAAAATCTCATTGACATACCATATATTACAACTCTTCTTTTTTATGTTAAATATTAATAATAAGAATAATATTGACAATTGAATGCTGTGCCACTAATCCTTTAGGTGCTATACTGAACCTTGGCTTTTCTAGAGTTTAATAAAGAACACAATGGCTGATATGTGCACTAAGCTAGTACTCCACTATTTCTCAGATGGTTGCTTTCCAGCTTCATCTATCTAAGCTCAAGTGTTTCCCAATATGCTAAAACATCCTATGGCTGGTTGCAGAGGGCTGTAGTGTATCATAGACATTATGCTTATGGAAAGTAGTAGAGTGCAGGACAGCAGTCTTGCCTAGCCTCCCAGGATCCGTCATTGATAAGTGCAAATGCTTCAACAGTTTTTATGCAGTCTGCAGAGAAAGGATTTGCAAGCTTTGCTATTGACTTTCTCAAGCATGGGTGGAGTTTCTCAGTTTCTGCTACTGTTTCAAAGACTGCAGCTGCCACTGTTGAGCCCGTAAAACTTCTGATTCAAAATCAAGATGAGATGATTAAGGGTGTTTTACAATTTGATGTTGGTTAGTTGATAAGTGGTAGCTGATTGTGTTAGCTAGTTTGACCAGCTGATAATTAGCTAGTTATAGAATATTGTCTTGTAAATTAGCTATTTACTCTTAGCTCATTACATATAAAATAATGTATAAGGTCATAACTATATTGTGTTATTTATTTAAGTTTTAAAGTATTTTTATAATTTATTGTTATCGTTGGGTTATTATTAATTATTTGTAATTATTATTATTTTATTATTAATATTGTTATAATTATAAAAAAAATACTTAGTAGTTAATAATAATTTAATTTCAAATAAAAATAAGTTGTTAATAATAATTTCACATAAGGGTTAACAAAAGTATGTGTGTGCGTCTGCGCGTGTATGCCAAAGAATCAATTCAGAAGTCAAGTTTTAAGCAATTATGATAATATTAAAAATGTAAATTAAACTTGAATAATGGTAGATCAAACTTGGGGCCACAGGAATAAATAGAGTATGAAAACAATAAATTTGGAAAGAAATTGTCTTGAGGAAAGACTTAGTAAAATAATTCCAAGGTCATTTAATACTATGCGAAAACAAGAAATTTGGAAAGTAATTTAGTTTTGAGAAAGACTTACTAAAATAATTCTTAGGTTTTTTTTTTTTTTTTTTTTTTTTTTTTTTTTTTTTGAGTACTGACTTTGTTATCATTTTCACCAAGGTTCAAATCTATGATCTCTCATATGAGAGAATCACTTCGTGCCACTAAATCACAAGGTCATTAGCATAATTCTAAGGTCATTTAATTTAATATTATGTGAAAACAAGAAATTTGAAAAGTAATTTAGTCTTGAGGAAGACTTAGTAAAATAATAAACTTGGGGCCAAAACTCCCAAAAGAATAGACAAAGGAAACAAGAAAACTAGGACTGGCAGAAAAAAAAAATATATATTGATCGAGATTACGGAATTTACTGGAAATATTTGGTAAGGAATTTTATTACAAATTTTTCCAGTTATGAAATTCAGCAAGTTAAGAACATACACAAAAATTTTCATATCAATCCAAGGACTAGAAGTAATTTTTTTGAATTTTTCGCTAAAATTATTCCAGATAGAATTTTTTTCTGGACAACACACTGTCAGGGACTTAATGAAATTTTCCATGTTTATTGGAATAAGTTTTCAACTCAAAATTTTTATGGATATCAACTTATAAGTGTAGGTTCTCTAAAAATAATTTCAAAGTGAAAAAGAGTCTAGAAAGTATTTTGCCAATCGTTATACCGTGCACCACGGCGCACATAGCAATGTGTGCCTCACCCTCCCAAAACGACCTCGTTTTGTTAAGTTATATGGAGAATTGACGCGATGGAGTGTATGGTAAGTATGTGTATTCTGTTATATAATTATGTAAATTCTATTATACAATTATGTATATTCTATTATACAATTATGTACATTCAAAACAAGTGATTTTTTTTAAGAGTTAAGAGTTTATGTGTATTATGTTAAGGGTTTATGTGTATTATGTTAAGAGTTTATGTGCATTATATTAAGAGTTTATGTGTATTATGTATTATGTATTCTGTTAGATTATGTGTATTATCCTTTCAAAAAAAAGTGTATGTGTATTCTGTTATACAATTATGTACATTCTATTATACAATTATGTACATTCGAAACATGAGAATTTTTTTTAAAGTTAATATCTGACACGGGAAAAGTGTATGTGTATTATGTTATATAATTATGTACATTTTATTATACAATTATGTACATTCGAAACATGGGAAATTTTTTTTTTAAGAAGTTAACATCATACATGAGAAGCAGAATTTCCAAAAAAAAAAAAAAAAAAAAAAAAAAGAGTACAAAACAACGTCGTTTTGGGGCAGGACGCACAATGCATTGTGCGCCCTGGTGCACGATATAATTTGCAGTATTTTGCGCCAAGTAGAAATTTCCTGGTCCACGCAGGAAATTTGCGCCATACAAATAATATGTTCAATATATTAAAAACGTATTTTTTTATGGCCCACGCAGCGTTGTGTGAACTAGGCAAATTATACCATGGACCAGGGTCTACCTTGAATTGTAGACAATGGTCCAAGAATAATCTTCAGATTCTGTATCTATAGTTGACACATTCTGCACATGCAGTTGATAATTTTTGTACCTGTAGCTATCATATTATGTGTCAACAATTATCAAATCAGATTCTATATCTATAGTTGACACATTTTGTACCTGCAATTGATAGTTTGTATACATGTAGTTATCATATAATATATTAGCAATTATCAAGTTATTTGTTTACATGTATACAAACTGAATGTGTTAATTGAAGGTACAAAATTTTTGTATCAAAATTTACAATGTAATATGAACCATGATCAATTGTAGAACAATTAGTGTGAACTATAGTCCACATAAAAATTTGCCTATTGAAACGGTTTAGCATCGACTAAGGTGTAATCAACAAGATTATACAGAGATCCTAACTATTTCTAGGAGTCTAATCTTCATCCAACTGTCCAAGTTGTATATTGGCCGGATGTAACACCCTCGATTTTTACCAAAATTTAAAAGCTTAAATTAAAGAAAAACAAGCTAATCATCCGTTAAGATAAAGCGGAAACAAAGTCTAAATACGGAGGTGCTATGCCATACCTATCTCAACATAGGTGCATAGGCTAA